TGTAGTTATTCGGAGAAGAAGATAATAAATAGTACTAAATCAAATGATGACATTTACTATTAAGTTCGAACTGATCTACACTCTGTTATCTCAATATTTTCGAATTATCGACTCTTTGGTACATGGACGCTGATTGGAGTTTTTAAGAAATGTTAAGATAAGAGTGTCTGATTACTTCAAACTCGAACATAAATATCATCATGATAAATTACTCCTGTCTCAATGTTATTTCAATTGATCAGAGATCTATTCGCAAGAATTGAAACTCTGCGAAAAATTCTATAATTCTTGAATGAAACAACCTACGAATATATATGTTGAGAATATCGTTTTTCAAAAATCTATACAAAAAACTAACCTGATGAGTTACAATGTAATTCAATAGGTCTTGTTCTTTTCCCTCGAATAATAAAAATCGCAAGTCTCTATGATGTTCCTATCAAAAGTTATTCAAACAGAAATGAAAGACATTTTATTCTCTTGTCAGTCAACAAAACATTTAACTATGTTCAAAAATTTTATTTTCTATGCTTTTATATCCATATCGATAGAAGGTTATTTGTTATGATTTTAAATTACACCTTTGAACAGTTAGTCTTTTTTTTCTTCTGAATTCAATCCTATCACCTGTATTTTAATGGTATTTTATTGCTGAAGGTCAAAGTATTATGAAACATATTTCTTATGATTCTTCACGATACCACTTTATATTGAAGAAAAAAAAAACAACAAGGACACACTCATAATATCAAACCGCTTCCAGCAATGTACTTTTAAACTTCATATTAAAACAAAAAAAAAAAGAAACGAATGTTCATTCAAGTTTTTTATTGGTCTCCATCTCAAACAAAAATAACTCATATCATTATATGAAGTGCTACACATCCTACTGTGTGAAAGAATTCGATTTTTTTCACATAAAAATATATTATTATTACAAAGAGAAGAATTCCCTATTGTAAAAGCATCAAACAGTTATTGTCGTAATAGTTCAACGCAACTGTATAATGATAAGAATAATCAACAAACTATATAAAACTCATATCTATTTACACATTACATAACAGATGATATACCAAATAAAAAAAAAATTGATTTTTTTATATTACCCTAATTTCAGAGACCTTTCAACTGCCGTAGTACACATAACTTTACCTCTGAGAATACCATATAACAATAGGTCTGTTTACTTATTTTCAAGTATCACCTTTTTTTTTTCTATCTGAATAATAATTCAAATGAACTCATTCGTTATAAACAAATAAAATCGACCCTCAAAGAAAATTTTATAAATGATAATTTATATTCAAAGTGGATAAATAGATTGATCTGTTCGACAGATTTTTTTTCTTTTCTTTGAAACTAAAACACTAACCTGTGAGCATAAGTATAAGTTGTCGGCGGACGTCCACTAAAACAAAAAAAAATCATTTGAAAATAAAATCTTTTGTTTTTTTTTTTTAACTAATTAAAATAATTACTCTGTAGGTGATTTTGTATTTTCAAGTATATCATAAACACTTCTACTTCCTGTCGTTGATCCTACATGTCGTTTTGTAATTGTATCTGTACGTACTTCAGTTTCAATAAACATAGGTCGACGAGTTGTTGTTACTGACGAACTTGAACCTGATGTTGTTGGTTTTGTTGTTTCAATAATATCATCATCAATAATTATATCTGTCATAATTTTATTATTATTCTAACAAGTATAGAAAACAGATCTGCAATAAAACGAAAAGAAAGAAACAAAGATAAATTTCTCCTGTTTATCGTGACCTATGAAACAAAAATGAACACCATACGAACAAAGTTCGACCGATTCGATCATGTCGTTAATATAGAGAAGCAGACGGAGAGAGAAGAACGCCAAAAGAAAAAGAAAAGAAACAGAAAGAAAAGTCTCTTGCATGTATGATTAATATTAAGAAGAAGATGATGAGATAAAACGATCATTTAATATATCAAGTAAAGTTAAAATAATTCTTGATATTGATGAAAAATATTTTATCCATATATTATAACATTCTTGTTGCATTTTTATTCGTTGTTTTATATTAATATTTTTTAAATAATATGGTAATATACTTAATGATGAATTTACATAAATAATAATTGATTTCGACCAATTAATTATTTCACTAAATGGAAGTATTAATAATTCATTATTATTTGTTGTTATAACAGGTATACAACCATATTGTAATGATTCAAGAAAACGATATGTATATAAACGACGTCCACTTGGTACAAGACAAAAATATGATTGTTGAAAAAGTTCTATATATTCATATTGATCATATGAATTATTATTATTAGTATATTTTATAATTATATCATAATTATTATTTAGATGATGAAAAAATGTACGATGATGTTGAACATCTTCATAACTTTTACCTTTAAATGAAAGAAGAATTTTACGTGATTTAAAAGAAATATTTTTTGTCAAATTTGATGAATAATTAGTATGAAATAATGGAAATGTTATATGTGATGAACAATTATAATTTGTATAAGTAAAACTAGTTGAAGCAAGAATATATTTTGATGGTAAATTAAAATCTAGTGTACGTTGATAAGATGGCCAAGTTCCTAGAAGAAAATTTATTGTGGATAGTTTTTGTTTTTGGAAATAAATAGTTTCGTAATACTATTTTCATAAAATGAAAGATAAAGAAGGAGAAAAAAAAAGCCAAGAGAACTACCTGTATAATGATTAAATATCAAATGAATTTTATTTGGATCTGACCATTCATGAAAAAATTTTAAATGTTGTTCAATAAAATATGTATAATAACCATTTTTTGATCGACGATCTCGATCAATTGTATCAACAGGTGCTATATGTAAACAAGCTAAACTTGAATTATTTGTATAATAAGATGAATTTCGAATAATATCAAGTATATTTAAAAAAATTGGTGAACGTATATAAGATACATTCGGATATTGAATATTTTTATCAATATGAATAGAAAAATGTGTAATATTACGTGGACATATTAATTTTTTTGTACAATTTAATATTGTATTTGAATTATAAAATGAAGGTAATAAAATAGATTTCTCAATTGATGATGTATTAGAAAAAAGTTGAAAAATAAATACAAATTGTATAGAACATACAAAAATACAAATAATCATAAGAAAAATATAACGTTGAGACGTAGTAAAAAAAAATATAGAAATCATTAATATAATATTTTTATCTATATCATTAACTATCTATTAATTAACCACAGAAAAATGACAGAAAGAAAATATAGATATAAACCAATTCCTATGATGCATTTTGTCCTCTATGATTTTAATATATTAATGCAAATAGGAATTTTTAGATTTTTTTACGGATAACTAGTGACCTCAATCAAGTTGAAAAAAAAAAGTATTATATTTTTTATTTTTGTTTTGTAAAATAAAAATAATCTTTTCTAATATGAATAAAAAAATTTAATATGTTTGATAATATAAAGTATTATTATTTTTTTTTTGTGTGTCAAGTATCGACTTATTCTTCGTACTTGTTTTTTTTTCTTTTTTTTTTTTTTGTATCAAAGCGTGTTGAGTCATTCATTCATTCATTCATATGAAAAAATAATCTTAACTGTCAATTGTATAAATTATTTAAATAAAATATTATTAAAAGAATAAAAATAAAAATAAAAGAAAGAAACGAAAATTTTGTTCTATTTTTGTATTATTATGGTTTCAAAAGTAGAAGGTCGTCGTTTGGTAAGTAAAAATCTTTCAATCATATATATATATAAAATAAGAATAGAATATATTGGTGAATGAAAATTAAAATAGAATTAATTCGTTTATTTCGATTGGAGAAAAATAGACCATTTAGAATAAAGAAATCAATTGAAATTTAATAAAAATCTTTTAAAGAGATTATTGAATTTATTTATATTTAATTTAATAATTCATAAAAGAACTACGGAATAATATTATTACTAAATAATAAAAATTAGTATTATTTTATACTGAAATAATATTCATTTCAGTTGATGGAATTTAACATAAATGAATGAATAATATATATATATTAGAAGCGTCAAGTCAACAAATAATAACAACGAAATTTATAGAAAATCTTTTAATCACACAATAGATGATTTAAAGTCGTTGATTGTGTCTTATTTACTTTCATAGTTTGTAACATAAAAGAAATATTTAGTTGAAAAACCTTGACAACTCATGTTTGTACTAGATAGATAAAAACATTGTTCTGTTTCAATATAGTTTTAATAAAAAAATCAAAAAATTCGTTTAAAATCAACAGAAATCTGTATATACATATATGTCTAAATAGAAACGCAATTATGTTTGCTAAATATTGACACATGATGAGATAATCATCTAAATCATGTCTTGAACTATAAATCTGAAGAATATGTCTGAATGAAAATTACGTTGAAATAAAACACCATTTTCAGGCATTTTTTTTTTGGAGATGATGAGATTTTAAAATAGTTTTATTTGATAGGAGCGTCAAGCAAAATGACGTCTGAAGTTTTGAATTAATACTCATCACAGTTTAATTCTGGTGTGTACATTAATCACATTTCGATGTAAATATACTTATAAAAATGTTTATAATTCGCAAGTAGAGATCTGCAAACTGGGCTCGGTCCCATTCCTGTTGGGACTAACTTTTAATTTTTACGGGACCGAGACTTAAAACTGGTCCTGTGATGTTTTCTCTATACTTATTATTCTGTTCTGACTAATAATAATCTATAAATAGACCCTTTTTATTAATGATTCAGATAAAATTATGAATGTGTAAAATCACTTTTTTCGATCCTAAACGGAAACCATCGTAGAGGTTTCTACTAAAAACAAATACTTATAGTTCTACAGATTCTAAATTTTGATATTATCAAAAAGACTTCTTAAATCAACATTGATCGAAACTTACTCATTTAGATTTTGTATCTATGCAAGAACTATGAGCTCTGAGAGAATTTTCTAAGGCACATGGACAGGATCAAGGAAAAACTTGATGCAAGCAAAAAAAAAGTGGTATTATACTTTTTTAGTTTTGATATATGCATAAAAAGTTATTCTTCTACTGTTGATTTCTCAAAACCATCAACATTCATTTTATATGAATTCAAAGAATCATACAGATTATTGGAGAGGTCGTTTTTTTTCTAGAAAAGAAATTAGGATCAGAAACAATAGAATGTTTTTACTGAAACTGGGACCGAGACCAAAACAAGGTAGTCCCGCCGATGTCTACTTTTGCAAGACTAATTGAGCAAGGAGATCTTCTATTATATAGTGTGTAATGCCAAAAACCTATAAGTTGCTATTAGCAAATTATAAAATTTGCTTGAAATTCGATATTTATCTTGCAAACAATGATAAATAGACAAGATAATTGATTTTAAATTGTTTGTTTTTGTTTTTAGCGTACACAACTTAGAAAGAATTACGTGGACGATGATGATTTCTTTGAAGAAGTATTTGAAAAAGTACAAAGATGGCAGATTGAAGAGAAATTAACTGCTTCAGATAGTTATCAAGGAAAATTTGTTGAAGAACTTACAGCTGACGGTTTGTATTTAATAAAAATTTTGATATATATTTTATAGAATTAGTTCTGTTATTGAAGTAGTTTTGCTTTTTTGAATTGTAATTTATTGACTATTGAATATTTGAAATTAGCTATGATGTACAATATTGTATCGATGAAGAATTTACAAGTCAGTTTTTGTTTTTATTTTGTAATTTCAATAAAAATCTTTAGTTATTCTAAGCATTGGAATTTTTTTGACTATTTCAATAACTGTTTGAATATTTGAAACAATAGATATACATTTGATTCAATAGTAGATTAAGTATTTCTTTATGTGTAGATCTTTTTGTGGTTTGTCCTGTTTGAGTCACATGAGACTTGCCAGTATTTTTAATAAAGAAAGGATTAAAAATGATTCTGCATAGAATAATAAATATAAAAATTTGATCTTAATATCACAAAAAGACTACCCTGAAATGATCTTTAAAATTAGAAGTCCTACCCTAAATTTCGATAGATTAATATAGGTTTTGTATGCACTCGAGAATTATAAATTCTAAGAGAATTTTTCCAGCTACATTAACATTCTGTCTGACAATGTACAGTCTTAACCGATCCTACTCTTCCTGGATATCCTATCTATACGATATATTTTTACATGAGTACATTTGCTCAAATATACTGCTTTCTATAGTACATTAAATGATCCGATATATATATATAGTGTGTAATTAAGATTTCCGCAGTCGAGGCTGGTAATCTTAACATGACTGGGCTTCATTATTTATCTGAATTTTCTTTTCTCGAAATGTTGGTTTAAAGCTCTGAGAAGATGAACACCTATTTTGGAAGCATAGGCACATAGTATGTAGTATAATAATGATGAAATCTGGAAGAAACAATCCGATATTCAAATAAGCGCTGCTCTCATGGCGGATACAACATTGATGTGATGGTTTACACTCTCCCTGGCTTTTTCGGTTATGCCACAGCTAATATACCATTTATTTAGGAGATTAATTCGTAGAAGATGCTGCTCAAAACTAATTGAATATGAAGGTTTCGCGGACAAGGCTTAAGAAAAAGACGATTTTACGAAAATTTGTTTCTAAACTATCAGAACCAGGATTGAACAGAGAAAATTTTGGACATCTGTATTTTTATCTTGTTCGCCTAAATTATTATATCCGAATACAATCCTAGCTTCATTTTATAGGTTTTAATATATCTTTTTCATTTATAAATCTAGAATTCAATTTATCCTATATTCAACGTACCGGTTTTCCAAATCCAATTATTATAAAACAACATCGAGGCTTAGGCCTTCGAGTTCCAACATCTAATTTTACAATTCATGATGTTCGTGCATGTATTGGTTCTCAACGTATAATCGATGTTGTTCATGTTGATACTCAAGAATCATCACAAATGACAATGAAATCATGGACAGATTATTATGATCAACCACCAGAAAAACGTTCTCAATTATTAAATGTTATTTCACTTGAATTTAGTCATACAAAACTTGAAAAATATGTTGAATCTCCATCACTTGTTAGTCAATTATTTAATATGAAATTTTTCTATGAAAATAAATTTTCTTTTTTTCTGTCAGGTACGTGAAATTGATTGGGTATCAAATGCATGGCCTCAATATTGGCAAAATCTTCAAGCTCAATATCAAAATAATCTCAAACAAGAACATATGTATTATCCAAAAACTCGAAAGTAAAATATGAAAAAAAATTTTTTTTTTTTTTTTATAAACAAAACTAAAGAAATATGATGAGGTCAACAATTGATGAACTCGATCTCCTCAAAAATTTTGGTTTCCTTTGTATCAAACTCTCACATGAAGTGTCCGAATGGAATATCTTGGATACTTAGTTCTATAGAAACTTTTTTGTATTCTGTGTAAGTCGGTTGAAATATCTAATGAGTGTGAAATGTGACAATAATTAATCTTTTTTTTTTATCGATCAATTTGATGATCAGTAAGAGCAGTTTTCATTGCTGCAAAATGACATTGTAATTATTAAAGGAAACCGTTAGTTCTTAAGAAGGATTCGAAGAATGTCATTCTCGAGACATGGTTTTACACCTTTTTTCACGGATATTTAGTAGATTTCGATAACAAAAAAGTGCAACTTGAGTGAAACTTATACAATATTCTGAATCACTGTTCAAAACTGAATAGATTTATATGAGTTTTTTGTATTTTCATAAAAGTTTTTTTCTTATCGAAAAATTTATCCTAGTCACCCTCAAAGATGAGTCAAAAAATGAATTCCATCATATTACAGATTTTATTGTTTAATCATCTACGATCCTGTGTTCTATATATCACTGTACAACCCTAAAACTTGTTTCCGACTGTTGAAATAGTCTTTCAATAAGAAAAAGTGATCATGAAAATACTCAAAACTCATACAGATTTACTCAGTTTTGAATGTTGATTGAGAATACCATAATAATTTCACTCAGATCACACTTTTTCTCGTCAAAATCTACTAAATTCCTGTGAAAAAATGCATATAATCATCTCTCAAGAATAGTATTCTTAGAGTTTTTTGATTAGAATCAATATTTTTATACTATTATGTAGCACCTGGATCATCAGACTTAGGCTCAGCTTAAATAAGTGCTCCAAAGCTAACTTCACTAGAAATTACTGTCAGACATCTCGTATAAGACTGTAATATAGAAGAAACTTAACTTTTAAAGATGCTGATTTCATCAATTATTGATCCTTTTCATTTTATTTTTATATTTTTAGATATGTTCTTATGTCAGTTGCAAAATGTTTTACTGATTTTCATATTGATATGGGTAATAATAAAAATGAATTATTTTAAATTTAATCTATTTTATTTTTATTAAGGTGGATCATCTGTTTGGTATCATTTATTAAAAGGAAAGAAAGTATTTTGGTTATTACCACCAACTGAATCTCATTTACGTTTATATGAAGAATGGAATTTATCTGGACAACAAAATGAATGTTTTTTTGCTGATTTATGTAATTCAAATGATTGTCAAATGATAATTCTTGAACCTGGTTGGACATTTTTTTTACCATCAGGTTGGATTCATGCTGTATATACAATGGAAGATTCTCTTGTTTTTGGTGGAAATTTTTTAAATTCTTTTAAAATTCCAATGCAAATACAAGTTTGGATGATTGAAAGAAAAGTTCGAGTACCTGATCGATTTCGATATCCATATTTTATTGAAAGTATGTGGTATATTATTCAACGTTATGTACATAGCCTAACTGGTATTACACATATTGCTGATGATTGGTAAGATTTATATGATTATATATCATTATTTATCTAGAGACAAAAATATTCGATAATATCATTAGTAATAACGAAAAAAAAAATAATCTTGATCGCGCAGTCGTTTTTGGAACTAAAATGTGAAATTCATATATAATCTTTAGCTTCATTATACTACACAGCATGTCTCAACACATTATTTTATACCTCGATAGGTTCAGAAATGTTGATATTGATTATTTTTTAAAGTTATAACTTCATGAGTTCATGATTTTTATGTTAAGTATATGACATATTAATGTATCACTATCTATCATCCTTGACATCTGAAATATAAACTTTAATCTTCGCCAAAAAGCAAGAACTGCACTATTTAGAACACTCACTGATGTATTCTAGCCATTCCAATTTCGAAGAAGGGTTTAAAATCTTCTAGAACAATCTAATGTTTCTTTTTTTGTTAATACTATTCAGTGTCTTTTTCCGTTGTTAGAAAATCCTGGAAAAAGAGTTTGATGCCTGTTGGCGTTGCTCCTCTCCCCCTTTCTATCCGTAAATCTCGATATAAAAGTTACACTCACTGTATTTTTTGAAAACTCATTCAAAACTCATTGTGAGCAAAAAACAAAGGATTCTTGTTTGTCGACATTTAGTAAAGCTAGTTCATTTATACAAAATGAGATGCTAAGTAGTCATATAATCGAAATAATAAAACGAGTAGAAAATACCATAGAACTTTTTGATACTAGTGTAATATGTTTAACAAATATCATTGATTTTGTAGCAAATTATGTTTTGTGTTAATCGAGAAATGATCTTATTCAATTGATCAACTCTATTGGCAATATTTGAAGTCGAAAACCTTCATTTTAGCTATTACTAAACTTGAGTCATTCATAATAAAAATATTCTTTTAAAGTTAAATCAGTTTTTTTCTTCTATGATTATTTAGTCTATTCAATTCTTATACTTAGGGATGTACAGTGTATTACTGAAATACTGAAAAGTGATTGATCTATACAGGATCTATTCGAAGGTACTGATTACATTGGCTTCAGTATTCACTGTAAGAATGAAATACTTCAGGAGGCATTAAGTATACTGACTTGATGGTCAGTAAATAATAAATGACTTTTCAAGTAATTTACTGATTTTTATAATGGTTTCACTTACTGAACACTTAAACGAAAGTCACTTAGTTGTAGTCAATTAATCAATTGAAATTCTTATGTAAAAATTTAGATCTCCAATTTCAAATAAGATTTCTACAGCAGACATTATGTATTTAATGTGAAAATAAATTGTATCTAAACACTGTTCAATAGAATATATGATCATTGCACATATCGAATCTATACCAACTCATAGAAGATCCTAATCGATTTCACCTGTGCTTCAATCTCATACTATTTATCTGATAGATAAATCTTTCGTATTCGTCGTTTTTCCGATTTTTTTTCTTTACTAATCATATTTATCCTTCAGGTCAAATGTACATCTTTGAAGAGTATTATTAACTTATGCTGATACCCTAAATATTTCCCAGCAAATTAAAGCCACTCAGGGGCGGCGCGACCGGGGAGGGGATAGAGGGTCACCTCCCTCCTGCTCCAGAAAATTGTGGCTGGTACTTTCTCCGATTTTGGAGAATTTACAAAGCAATTTTCTCCAATTTTGGAGAAATATACTTGATAGTTTTCTCTAAATTTGGAGAAAATTCAAGATTGGAGGGCATTTTTAGGCGATTTTCTTCGATTTTGGAGAAATTTGTATAATATATTTCTCCGAAATTGGAGAAAATCGCCCAAAAATGTTCTCCAAACTAGAATTTTCTGCGAATTTATACAATAGTGTTGAATATATTTCTATGAATCCGGAAAAATCCAATTTTGGACAAAAATGAGTAGACGATTTTCTCCGATTTTGGAGAAGTATATTATAAAATTCTGATTCGGACAAAATTTCAGTTTAGAGAACACTTTTTGACTTTCTCCGATTTTGGGACTACCCCCCTGCCCCAACCTCTTCGCGCCGCCCCTGAAAGCATCAAATCAACTATGTCCATATCAAGACACTCACGAACCAAAATGATCCATACCTATTGCCTACTATGAAGAAGTTATGATCATTTTAATAAAATTTTTATTCATAGTAACTCGTTTCTGAAACAATGAGTGTTAAGAGTTGAAATCATGTGTATACATACGTTTTGATAGTCCTGAAAGTTTCTATGAAAACGTACATGCCTTTCTCGAAATCTTCAATTACAAAGGAAACTTGATTTCTATGTTTTCCTATGATAAGTCGCTGTATTGTTTCATATTTGAATTATTTTTTGTAAGAACATTTTGGGAGAAGAGTAATTTATATATGAGATTTATTGATATCAAAACAATAGATGATAACCGTTTCTGAATATTAATATGTATAAAATCGATGAGACATGCTTTCATGTACAGTAGGTATTAGTAATATTAATAAAACCTATCGTTGAGGAACTATACGTCCGTTCCTTTTTTACAATTGGTGATTAGAGTTCTTTATTTTCTTCTTTCTTCTTAGTTGAATCGTTATAAATTAGCTATTGAAAATAGAACTAAAGCATTTAAATATTCGATGGAAAATAACTGTAAATAATAATGATGTGTTAAATTGTTCCATAATTACTATAAAATTGCTCAAGGAAAAAAATTTCTTCCCTTTTGTCAACAATGATTATGCCATAAATAAAAAGAAATATTTCGTTAGATTCTATTTGATTCAAATTAAAGACAATAGAAACATTAAAAAAAATGTATAATTTATCAATCACAATATCTCATTGATTTTAATCATGAGAACGAGACGTACTTTGAAATCTATTTGACACTGTATTGACTCATTTTTGGACGTCTTCTACTTATAACAATTGAAAAAAGTTTCGGAAGGAAGGGTTGATCGCCCCAAGATCCTCCTTTAAATCTGCCGCTGCCTTTATATATGTTGTTCTGCAATAAAAACTTCATAGTCGTCCTATAATTGACTGCCATATAATAATTTTGTTATACTTGAGTTTATTTGGTTTTTAACGAGAATAATGAAAATAATATTTGAAGACATTTTGCTTAAATCAAGAAGAAAAAAGAACTTTTTTTTAAAATAAAATTTGTTAACTTAGAATTAATATTGTTAGTAATTAAAATTCAATCGATCTAGATTTTAAACTATTTTTTAAATTATAGGATTATATAGAAACGAATGATTCTAATAGTATCACCTGCTAACATTATACTTCCGAGTAAACTAAGAAAAATAGAATATTGTAGAACATCAAGAACTTTGAAATCTATATAAAATTTTTATCATATTATGAAGTAAATTAGCTACAATTTATCATGTCAAAAGACTATCAATGCAATGCTTATAATTAGCAAGAGAATTTCTTTTCTTTTTTTTCTAAAGGATGTAAGTTTTTCAACATTCTGCGCTTTCTTTAGTTTTTTTTTAAAGTAGATTTCCGGAATGTATAACTTTGAAAGTAGAAGGTCTCCATAGTAAAAACCAAGTAAATAATTATTATTCACTGAACAAAAACATCATATTTTAATGCAAGAAAATTCCGACAAAAGTAAAATATTCCTAAATATTTGATCAATTATCAAAGTATAATTGTCTTGATTGATAAAATAATCCAGAGACAGATATTTTGATTGAAACATATGTAAACATTATTGACATTATCAAATAATTTTTCTATATAATTATTATAAACGAGTGTTTCTTTTTTTTTTTTTTGATAATCTTTCATTTAGTTTGGAATATGCACAAAAGCAACAAGAAACAGATGGAATAAAATCAACAACACCAATCAATTCTTCAGGTAAAAATAAAAAAGCTACAATCTATTCATATGAATTTGTAAGAAAAATTAAGAAGATGGGTTTCTTTTTTTCTTTCTTTTCCTTGTTTCATAGCGGTATATATGAATTGATTTTAAATTTGTTCGTTTCATTCAATTTATTAAGTAATATTATCAATAGATAAAAACATCAAACAATTGTAATAACATCAATTACCTCCGCTCCTCTTATGTGCATTTTAGTTTGACGTTTTTCTCTATTCTATGCACACATACGTTTATAAGATGATGTTGTTAGTAGGCCTTTTAACGCTGTATCGATTATTGATGTAGAACAGATTTATTTTTTTGATTTAGTCATAGAATGAGTGGGTGCGAACGAGAATTACTTATTCCAAGTACTTGATCGTTCGATCGTCGTCATCAACACTTTGATCTGTCTTGTATATATGCATATATAACTTATGAAAATGTTGCTTAATCGTTAAAAAAATCAAACATGTTAATTTGAAGACTACAATCCGAGATAATCGAATTATTAATATTTTGTTCTATCGTCAATTAAGCTAGAAAGTTTATTTTTAACATTGTTCAAACAATAAAATAAAAAAGACATAAAAGTGCATATATATATAGATTTGCTTCTTTTTCTTTTTATATTTTATTTTATTTTAACGAACACAATTGTATATTGTGAATAAAAGTTAATCGGAAAGTATTGTTGTTCTTATTGACGAGAAGCAAGAGAAAAAAAAAGAGAGCGAGAGAGAGAGAGAGAGAGAATAAAGAAAAGTTTTGACCTAAATTAGCATTGCTTTGATTTCCACAACATTTCCTTTACTAATTTTTCCGGTATTTGATCTTTTTTACAAAATGCATACAAGCGAAAAAGTAAATATGAATAATAATAACAATCATAGAAAATAGATTTTTGAACTAAATTTTATACAGAAAAAAAAAATTAGACATTAGCTTGATATAAGTGAATTAGAAATGAAATTGTCTTTTTGCATAATCAATGGATGTATATGGAAATAGAAAAAAAAAAAAAAAAAAAAAGAGAAACTGAATTTTCTCTTGAACTACGCTCTCTTATTCATCATCGGTTGTCGTTCATCGATTTCGTCAAGTGTAAGAGAGCGTGCATCTATTCTTGTCAAGCATGCTCCTCTTTCTCATGATGTCAATTATTGATTTTAGATGTCTTCCTCTTCGAATTATTCCGGAACGGATCTGTTCTTCTTCCTTTTTTTTTTTTTTGTGTATATTTATATGTGTGTAATCTAGCAAGCGTTTGTCTTACGATAACAAACATACAAGTATCCATGTCACTTGTCTATAAATAAATGTTATTTTGTGTACAAAATTATATATACCTATATGTATATATAATCAACCTTAAAGTTGAGGTTATCATTGAGATTTATATAAAAATGTATTATAATATCATGTATTGTGACCTATCGATGTAATAATATTCATCTATGATAACTAAGTATTGGTGTCGTTATTTGAAATATAGAAAGAAAGAAAGAGAAAAAGTTATTTTTGATCATGCTCGTTCTTGAACAAGAAAAGAAGAAAACTCTAGAGGTAATATTTGGTATTTTATATTGAGAGGCGTGCAATTATTTAAGATAATCTGATAATAGTCTCTTTGGGTGTAGAACGATGAAGGAGGGAAGAGAGAGAGAGAGAGAATAAGATGGTGATCATAATGATTTTTTTGCTGTTACTGCTTCCTGCATACGCGAATGCGTTTTACACTGTCTCAGGAGACAAATGAATAGTATGTAAAGGCATGTTGTTGTCAGCATCTACCATCATCACCAGCATGTTGAATGATTTGCTATGTTGATAATAACACCATCGCCATCGTCATCTTTCTCTAGAGCCAACAAAGATATAGAGATGTATATATATATGTCTATGTAAGACCATTGTTTGAGAGCAATGTGTGTATCCGATCGAATAAGTCAGATTTGGTAAGAAGCTTTTCAAGGATTTTTCTTCTTTCTTTTCTTTATATTGACTAAATAAAAAAAATGTATCGATTAACTTTGTGAATAATTGTCATTCAGTTGTTTGAGAAAAGAAAGAAACAAAAGAAAAAGAATTTTCTTTTTTTATTTTTTTTATATCGTTCATTCAACCGAAAATAATCGACAACGAAATACGATATGTATTTTCTTTATTCATTTTAAGGATTTTCTTTATAATCCCATATTAGAAATCGGTTTTTTTTTTCGTCTTATGTTTACTTTTTCCTTTTGAAAACTCTTATTTAAAAACCTTCTAAATAAGAATTTGATGTAGATTACCTTTAGTAGAGAAATAGAATATAAAAAGCAAATAAAAAGAAAAATAAGAATGAGAAAGAAAAACAATAGTTTAATTTTTGATTGACTATTTAATTTTATTCGTTTAAACATGTCTTTGACAGTTGAATTCAATCATTATCATGTTTTTTTTCTTATTATTTGATGTTGTCATATTGATCTGCCAAACTTCTTTTCTTTCTCATTTTATCCTATATTTATTTTATTGCTCAAACACAAACACTTTCTCTTTATGACTTGTCTGGTTTATTGTATATTGACAATCTCAAACATTCCTAAAAAGAAAAGAAAGCAAAAGAGAATCAACATAAATGAGAACATAGATTTTTGTTGTTAATTTTTCCTTTATATATATATATATATATATGCGTGTTTGAAAAGAAAGAAATGTTTGTATTTGCTAATTAATAAATGAAATCTTTCTGTTTCTTGGACAACTACTACACACACATTTATTATAAATTTTCAAAAGTGAGCATAGGTTGCACTTGTAAATACATAAGCATAGAAAGACCATCAATTTAAAATTCTTATTTGAAATGACAGAAATAAAAAAAGAAAAGATGAAGAAAAAGGGAAAAAAAAAGAAGAGAATAATTAATACGTACTACCGCTATTACAACCTGATCATTCGACGTTCTCATTTTTCTCTCTCTCCCTCTGTTCTCACTCGTCAATCACTTTCTCTCGCTTGTGCAATCACAAACATACACACACAATCATAATATGTTCTCGCTACATACAACGCGCGTTTGTGCCTTGTTCTTTGTTCAAAATTTTCCTTCCCTCTTTTTCTATGTTATGGCTGTCTTCTGATCATTCAAAGAAAAGAGAGAGAGAGAGAGAGAGAGAGAGAGAAAGAGCAGAAGAAAAGAAATCTGTGTGCAAATTACTCAAATCTTTTATGAATGAACGCATAAGGGCGAAAAAGGAAAAAACTCGTTGTTTCCATACACTCGTCATTTTCTCTTCTTTTTTCTCTCTCTCTCTCTCTTCTTATTCATTGCTCTCATTTATTTCTACTTGTATTGATTGTCTTGAGTTTTAGTTCTATAAAAAAAGGAAAAAAAAAACAAACACATAAACTCTAACTATAATCGAATAGAACATATACAGGTAGAAATATATTTGTCAATTAGAATATCTCGTCTCTCTTTTTTTTTTTCTTCTCTTGCTAGCAAAACATTATATTATGTCTTGTTTCTTTAATATGCTCATTTATTACTTGCTACTCTTCTTCATATTTTTCGAGAGGTCTATTGTTATTCTGTTCAAATGATGAACAGCAAGAAAGGAAGCCTTTTTTATTTCAGTCCTTTTCTGTCTCTATTACATGAGTACAATAAAATTTGTCTTTAGATCTGAAACCTTGTCGAACAAGTCGATTGTTGCTAGTGAACAATAATAATAATAATAATAAAGACATTGAACAGCAATATCAACATTTGACTCGATTTGAACTAGACGGTCTACAAACATTATGTTCTCTTTTACGAAAATTAAAAGACAAATCGATCCCGGAAGATCTTATTCAACCACAACAACTTTTGGAATCAATGGAGGTAAATTAAAATAGAAAAAAAAAAGAAAAGAAAATTTTCTTTTATTGATTCTTAAATTTATATAAAAAGAAACAGTTTTCAAGAGGAACAGAAAAAAAAAACCTTTTACAAACATTGGGATTTGATCTTCGAATGTAGAAATCCATCATTAATATTTTATCTGTTTAAATAATTTTTATTTAAGTATCTGATCAATAAAAAAAAAAGAAAAAGTAGTATTGACAATGTCTATATATCCTATGAAAAAAGACATTTACACAACAAAAAAAAAAAAAGAAAAGCCATTCGACCTCTCATTCTTTTTTTATTTTATTTTATTTATTTCTTCTTCTTCTTCTTCCCTTTTTTTAAAACCTTGTATTCTAACATAAATATAATCTTATCTTTAATCTAGCGTCTTCTTATTGATCATGTTTCTGATGATTCTCAATTATCAATAACTGGTCAATCGATAATTCATTACAACTATAATCAACAATATACATTTGATATAACTAACAATCAAGTAAGCTAAAAAACAACAAATCACATAGACACATGTACATAAAGTCGGAGCTCTAAATAAACTATTACAAAAGTCATGTTGATTTAAATATTTTCTTTTTTTGTTGTTATTCTCTTCATTTGTGACATAATATACTTTCATATATATATATATATATTTAAGAACGAAACGGAGTCTTTTCAAGGCATTAAACGTAAAAATCCTGATCATAATAATATGCAACAATCATCATTTCATCTTATTCATCCTTCACAACATCAATATGAAACATTATCAATGCAACAACCAACTACAAATGTTGTTACATTACATCCATCAACAACTGTTTTATTAAGTGGACCATTAGCTAGTTCTAATTCATCAAATTATTATCCTTCTCATCATCCTCTTCCACCTCCACAACAACAACAACAACAACAACAACATTATATTAATAATTATAATCAATATACTCCAACAAAATCACCAACACAACAACATTATCAAACAGATAAAAATATAACTGCAAAAGATCGACATAAACGTGTTCGGTATATATATACATATATTCAATAAAATTGTTTGAAAAATTTCAATTTTTTGTTTTGTTTTTATGATTAGATGTAAACAATGTGAACCATGTTGTCGAGATGATTGTTCTGAATGTGTACATTGTAAAGATATGCCAAAATTTGGTGGTGTTGGAAAAATGAAACAATGTTGTTTAACAAAACAATGTATTGCACCTATATTACCATCAACAGCAACATGTCAAGTATGTTTAAAAAAGAAAGGTTCAAGAAAATTATCTCAATTAAAACCTGAAGAAATTCTTTATGAATGTGAACGTTGTATGGAAATTCATCATTTACCATGTTTTCATGTATATTGATAATTATATGAAAGGAAAAAAAAAATAGATAATTTTGTTTTTTTGAAAATTTTTAGACTGCTCATTCTGATGTATCTACAAGTGAAGGTGTATTTAGTGATGATATACCTGAAACATGGTTATGTCCAAAATGTATTACAGCTAATACACCTGAACCACCTTTGTATAAATTACGACCTATTGTTCGACGAACATTAGTTACAACAAATAAAGGTAAAAATGGTCTTATTGAATTACCATATTCAGATCCTTCACAACAACAACATCATCATCATATTTTACAACAACAACAACAACAACAACAGCACCAGCAACAATATCATATGTATGCAACAAATATAAATACGAATTTACATTATACAGATTCGTATGAAGTTATGGAAAATGAAGCAAAAAAAGTAAGAGACAATATTTGATAATTGTTTTTGAAATTGTGTTTGCCTTTTTTTTGGAAATTTAAGCGCCGTCTTTATGCAAGTATGTATACAACAAATGGAAATATTGATTCACCTGGAATACCAACCAATCCATCGTCAACAATGAATAATAATTTAGTTGCTCTTGATGATCTTTCACAATCGTTAAATGATTCGGATTTATATATTCCACAAATGTTTGCTGTTTAATTATTTTTTTTCTATCTCTCTCTTTCTCTTTTGTTTGTGATAGTTATCATTCATTCCTCTTTTTAAATTAGGCTACGAGCAGATACCCCGGTGTATGTGCATGAAATATAAAAAATAAAAAGAGAAAGACAAAGAGAGAGAGAGAGAGAGATATGAGGGAAAGATTGTGTATTTACTTTTCATTTTTATTTACTATTCATTCTTTTGTTTTGTTTTTTTTTTCTTTTCGTCAGTCATTTCTGTCTCGTCTTTTTTTTTCTTCTGTACTTATTTCTGTTCAGTTTTTCAAGATAAAGACAGATGGAGAAACAACATATAAAATTTCAAGATGTCGAAATGAATATATAATTTGACATGCAATAACATTATTCATTGATAAAAAAAAAAAAATTTTTTTTTGTTTTATTTGTTTGATTGGACTTTCATTTAAAATGCATTGTTTGAACATTTCCTTCCCCCCCCCCTCTTTTTTTTTCACCTTCAAAAAGAAAAAAAAATTTAATCAATGATTAATTATCAAATCTAGTCATGTTGATTTAAAGGAATTTAAAAGAAGACAAAAAGCATTGATTGGCAACTTTAGTGCACTAAAGTATATTTGTTTTTGAATATTTCATATGACATTTATTGACAGAGATATAATTGATTTTTTTTTGATTCTGCTAAAAAAAAAAAGAAAGAAAACTGCTCTTTCATGTTCTTTCATCAAAATTGGAAGTACTTTTAACGTTAATGTGTATTCAATTGAATCTCTAACTCTTGACAGTCAATTAAACAAAAGCATTCTGCAACTTTTACTGAGTTCAAATGAAATTATATCAATGAGTTAATAAATTTTAATATTAGTTTAATGAAATGCTGACAAAAAAGAAGAAAATATAGTTTACAGAAAAATAATAGTTTTCTTGTTTAATGAAAATGTCCAGCAATAAAAATATTGTTCATTATTATACTCGTTTTGTTTGCTCTTTTTTACGATGTTCTCTTTTTTAAAGTTGCTGCTGCATCTTTAAAATCTCGTTGTTGTTGTGGCCAAAGATGTTTATAACCATAAGCATTTTGTGGCCCTACTGCACATTGTTGAGCGTAATACGGATATTGTGATGCTTGCTGTGGTGAACAATAGTATGGTGAACAACATAATGAATTATATGCTGGATATTGTTGTTGAGAAAAATTTGGAAAAGAACTATTACAACATGAATATGGTGTACATTGTTGAGACTCAAATAAATTCAAATTTATATTTTATATATTTTATATTAAAGAAAGTTTTACTTGCGGATAGAAACCACTGCATTGTTGTTGTGGAAAGAACTGCATTGTTTGATGCGTTTGAATATGATGCAAAAGGAATGTTTTCGTAATGAAAGCATTGCCTTTATACGGCGAACTTTGGTATAATTACGTGAAAATTTTGGAGGTCGAAGGTTAACTTTGAATGCCTTTGGCAGTTCTTTTTATGATCAAATAAAATACATTAATCATGTTGTCAAATAATAAGTGTGATAATAGTTTTTTATGTATAAATATACGAGCTTGATAATGGTGAGAGTTTGATGTTTAGTTGGCGTTGATGACACATTTTGTTAGAAGTCAAACGGCCATGACAAGGACTTTAGAATAAGAGAAATTTTTTTTATGTGTTAATGAATAATAGAAATCAAGAACAAAATTAAAAATATATTGCTTATATAATTGAAATATCCGAATCAATAGTGTAAAACATTATTATAAAAAAAAAATTATTATTTGAGTATTGTCATATGATTTATATTGCGCATCGTTTTTTTCTTTACTTGATTGCGTGTTTTAATAATTCTATCTAAAGTTGGAAAATTGAATTATTTCATATTTCGATAAATAACACTCGAAAAAATGAACTATATGTTGAAACTGATGGCTAAAAGAAAATTCAATAACACCAGATACTTGATATTACAATGAAAAACAAATAATTCTAAGACTTTAATGACAAAGAAGCTAAGGAATGTTATAGAAAGTATATAATAGACATGATCAGAAAGTACACAAAAGAAAAAGTTCAAAAATTTGAAATCAACAGATGTTTGCTGACTATATGCTGATTTATCTTTTGAATTCTATTGTTGTCTATTATGACTAGAAGAATACACTTGCCTTTCAGATACCGCGCGGTATGACATGCTGTCTAACAGCTAATGCAATATTCCAATATATTTTCTTCAACTAATATTAACTCTAGCTGCTCTCGAAAGAAGACCTCATTGAATATACCATATAAACCAACTAACCACAGACTAATCATAAAATAGTCAGCATACTATTGAACAGATAATCTGATGAGGAAACATATCCAACTGTTCAATTTATCGATCTAAATAATATTTTTCTTATCAATAAGGTTCAGTAAAAATAGAAAAATCATGAAATGACTTCTTCCTATAGACATTCTTTATGGAGTAATAACCATTTGATCTGATTTTCAGCTTATGGCAAGATATTCTTAGAAACATCAAAAATCAAAAATTTCAGTCAACGCGAAGTGCATCCATCTCGACATAGAGAGTACTGAAGAAAGGCTACCCTCATAAATTATTTTTTTTTTGAATATTCAATATTTCGAGAAGAAATCATTTGCTTGGTCAGAAACTTCCAGAATATTCTAAGGATCAAGAAATTTATAGGCAAAAGTTCAAGTGAAAATTCCTTTTTTTTCGAATTTCTTTATGACTGTTTTGCCCTAAACTGAAAGATCGATACAACGATCATAAATCCATAAGAAAGGTCTACGAGGAGACATCTTTGTAAGGATTCTTCTAGTCTAAATTAGTCCTATTTAGATGATTAACAGTTGAATATGTTCCCTAGTTAGTCAGATTGACTCTATTATGATTGATTCAGCTTATGTGATTCAAACAGAATAAAAATCATTGAAAAATCGTGTGGAATCATACGAGTTAGCAAAGTTGCATTTGTCGATATTGATCAATAACCGTTGGTATACCGACAATCAACGAAGCGTAGTCTGATACTTCAATAGTTCAACTATGTTCAGATCTTTGTAAAAATAAATATCTTACACAATTACTCATACATGAGAGGATAATTTTCTAAGAAACTTCAGGAATATACTGATTCATAAGAAAGAATTTTCGAGGAAAATGTACGGATCACGAGAGGCATTGTCAGAAAGTTACGGCAATTTCTTTAATACTTATATGTATAAATGAAGTTATAAATCTATAAGATATAGAAGCTAGTCACATAATGTTAAGAACTTGCAATAATTCGTCAATAATCTTCGAAATTTCTTACAACATTCTTTCTGATGAATCAATAATTGAGGAACATTATTAGAAATTATCTTCTGGTATGTTGGCAATTATTCACATTTTCAAGAAGTTCCCTGAGAAATGTTCTCATATACGTTAGTAATCGCCAAAATTTACCTGCAATCACGTTCTGATATGTCGACAATTTTGAAAATGTGAATATACTTCAAATGCTCGGTCACTCTACCATAGTATACCTATAGTTTTTCTCTGATCATCAATTTACTATCGGTATACCGATGATGGTGCGAACAACTATACAGAATGAAAATTTTACTTCTCTCTTCGTCGTTTATTACTCATTTATTATAAGCACGAGGTGTATTATACAATAAGGCTGTAATATTCAACGCTTTATTCATATTTCGATTATTAACAATTCAGAGTTCAATTTCATTTTGAACATAAAACTGTTGTCGGGTATGAATATTGAATAATTTAAATGATTATAGGATCTTTGAATTCGAAACAATCAAACTGAAGCACCGATTTTTCATGCTGATTTGAAATGCTCAATAGAAAATCGAAAAAAAGTACAATCAATGTAGAACAATTGTTGAATTGACTATCATTATTATTTATAAAGTAAAAACATAATAAATTAGAAAAAAGTCAAAAAACAAAAAGAAATTCTTATTTCTTCAGTGGTATTTTGTTTTTTCGGGTAATTAGGTAAAATATCACAATTATCATTAAAAAATTATATCAGTTACGATGTTTTACTCATTTGTATGTTCTTTATTTAGCATATTCCCTTCTGCTATTTTTGCTTTCTTTATTTTTCTATTCAATAGTTTTTCTTTCTGAGTTTTCCACGAAAAAATTCTTTCATACATACCATTTAGAAATGAAATAACAATAGAAATCTTGTGAAATATATAAGATGCTAGAGCAAATGAAGATTTAATACTCATCTTAATTTATATTGTTAACTTTCTGTGCAATAATCAATAACATGCTTAATTCAATATGTATTTTCAAGTCTTAATATTTAATTAATTATGAAAGGATATTAAAAACGAACATAATTTACATTAAGTAATAATAGCATACTTAATTTACTATTGTCCATTTCAGAGTTAAATGGCTGTGGGCATTTTTTTAAACAACTTTTGGTAGGAACGAGATAGAGATCTGCGATTTTCACTGTTGGAAAGACCAGATGAAAACGCATCGAATTATGTATAGAACGATTTAATCAATAAATTAATATCGAGACCATGACAAGCATGCTGTTTTTCTTCAAGTTTTATGTAAAACCTATAGGAAAATAGCTAGAAAAATCTTTCTACATATAATTCGATGCGTCTTCATCTGCTCTATCCAACGGTGAAAATTGCAGATCTATATCTTGTTCCTATCAAAAGTTATTTAAAAAATGCCCATGACCATTTAACTCTTAAATGGACGATGCATATAAGTAAGTAGAACTTCAAGATTAAATTTTCTTATTTACTCATATTAGACATAAAGAAAATTAAAATGAATAAAAATGCCATTGTTTCGAACGAAACATCACATAAATATAAAAACTAGTCTGCTCATTTTAGAAACGTTAAATTTCTTTTTCCACTGAAACATATCAATAAATGTTCTTTTTTTTATCAAATAATATTTCATTATGGAATGAATGTTTATTTAAACTTTTCTATATTTCTATATATATTAAACATTGACAACAATGAA